TGGGCTGTGGGATCTTTGACAAGTTTCTTAACCTCTCTGAGCCTCAATTTTGTCATCTAGAAGATGGGGATACTTACACCAAACTCACAGGGACTTTCTCAGGATCAAAATTGATGCTCTGTGTAAAGCACATGATGTTTATTACATGGTAAGGGCTCAGTAAGTGGTGACTCTTATTGTTTCCTAGGATTTAATTGTCTCCCCTAGAATAGGTCCACAGGTACCATGGTTGATCTGTGAGTGTTTATTGGGATGAAATGGCTTGGTTATTCTTGGTGAACCAGTGTTAACCCAGAGAGGACTTCTGCCTCTAAATATTCAGGTGCTTGTGTGTCTTCCTGTGATCACCAGGTGTGGGAACGTTGCTTGACCATCCTCTGTGCATAGAGGGCAGTAATTAGAGCTTTGAGGGAGGGCAGGACAAGGAGACATGACCCCATTGTTTATCGACTGCTTATTCTGCTCCAGTCTTTCCCTAGTGCCCCCACCAAGCCTCCCTGCTGGGCGGTGTTGCCCCATCTTCCTACGTAGGGAAACTGAGCCTCAGAAAGGTGGAGTAACTAACCCAGGATCTCACAGCAGATAAGTGACCATCCTCTGATATCTCATAGTGCCTTCTTGGAGACAGAAGCAGTGGTTTCCCTGCCTAATTAAAAGCTTCACAGCATCAAGGAATCATTGTCAGAGGTGATGCATGCTCTCAGATGAGAATGCCAGGTGGGATGGGCACAGTCTTGCAGTGCAGGTAGGGAGACGGGGCAGGTAAGTGAAGCAACCTCACAAGAGAGCAAGAGCCACGTGGGAGGAACAGAACCACCTCCCTTGTCTTCCGGCTTGTGGGGCTTTCCTTCTGCCTGTCTGAAATGCTGGCGTTGGTGTCATGCCTTGACTGGCAGTGCAGTACGTCTACATTCGGGAGAGGCGAGAGCTGGACGTGGAAGGGCGGAAGATCTATGTGGTCCTGGCCCAGAGCACCTCCCATCCAGAGTTTCCCGAGAGGTCCGGTGTGATCCGGGTGACGCAGTACAAGGAGAGTCTGGTGCTCACGAGCGATGGCGGGAACGGGAGCAAAGGTAAAGACAGCGCCAGGCGGGTGCAGGGTCAGGGTCACGTGGGTGAGGGCCGTGCTGATTGCGAGGCACATAAAGTGCGCAAAGCTTGCTCCCTGAGGTCAGAGAATGGCATGGGTGCAAAACAGACAAGGGATCCACATCCACAGCTGGGGAGAGACTCAGGTCACCCCAGAGAGTGGGTGCAGTGGAAGGTGGCTGTCTAACTCTGACTCGGTGCGTTCTTGGCTGACTCTTGCATTGTCCAGGTGAAATCAGAGCAGCCTAGTAAACCAGCAGGTTTTGGAATTCACAGCAGGCTGTCCTGTGGACACATCTGCCAGTCCTGGGGGTGGGCAAGACGGCTGGCGGGACTGTCTCTGAGGACGCAGCTCCCACTCAGCAGAAACCCAGACACTCAGGACCTGGCTGCCCTGAGCTCCAGCCACGGGGAGGAAAGCTGTGGGTGGAGAGTGCGGCCTGCAGCCACCTCCTCTGCTGGAACGAGTGTGGCCTTGCATCTGAGGCAAAATCTGAACCGGAGTTCTGAGGCTTGTTAGATCTGTCACCTGGGACGTGTCACCTAACTTTCCTGAGCTTCCACTTTATCATTAATATACTGGAATTATAATTGGAATTTTACCAATTCCTTAGGATTGTTAGGAGAAGTGATGAGAGAAATAATTAAATGAGAGACTGTCTGTCACTTGCCAGGTGTTTAATAAATAGCAGCAAGATGTGCCTGTGGCTGTGTTTTCAAAAATGTTTATAGATAAGTATCCTCTAAGACAAAGCAGAGCAGGGAACATGCCTGAATCGTGTGTTACCTCCCTCCCTACTTTCTGGGCCTGTATTCAGAAAATAGGATGGTGGAAGGTTTGCAGGGTTTGTTGCTGTATCTTTCTCATGGTTTTCCTCCTTCTGAATTGTCCTTTCTTCCCTTCTCTAGTTTTCATGTATTACTTCGATAACCTGGGTGGCGAAATTCTGACCCGGCTCATTAACTGGGCTGCCAAGGTGAGATCCCAGGAGGCAGGAGGGGTAATCATGTTTGACAAATGTTGACTTAGCCTGTGGGGTTGTCTCAGGCCTAATGAGGCTCTTTTATGAAGCAGCTTGGTTGAGTGACTACGGGTGGGATGAGAGTTGCCACCTCCCAGTACGGAGGCTGGGACTAAAGACAAAGAGTCCTTAGCTGGAATGCCAGCCCCTCCCTGCTGGTGCCCCGAGACCCCTCAGGATCGCTCTCTGGATCCTCTGGACAATAGCCTGCTCCTTGTAGGAACAGTGGTACCCTTGGATCCTGTATCGGCTTATGCAGAAGTAAGACAGGCCGACATGGGTGAGGAGACAACGAGATGTGGCCAAGCCTGGGGGCGCCTCCAGTTTTGTTATTGTTGTTTTTCTGGAAGGAGGGGAAACTGCAGGTGTTGCCCAGATCGCTAGAGACTGCCTGGAGCCTGGCTTCATGGGGCCCATTCAGCCTGCTTTGTGCACGTCCTACTTACTGGCTGGAGGCCTCACCAGCTTCCTTGGGAGAGAGAAAAAGCACATAAGCTTTGAGTCAGACACATGTGATTTTGAATCCTGGCCCTGGCATCGATCTTCTCATTTTTAAAAATGGAGGTGAATGTTACTTACCTCGTGGAGTAGGATTAAAGAAGACAGTGTTTGGGGACAGTCTTGCACAGTGCTCAACACTAACTAAATAATAGTATAGTCTATCTCTTGTCCCCAAATCTTTACCATTTCGAATCCTGTAAAGCAAGTCCTTTCTCTCATTTCTTTGGAAGACTCAAACAACCCATCTCAACCCCATTTCCTGTGTTTTTTTTTTTTTTTTTTTTTTCAAGAAACGATGTCTCAGAAATATCTTAGGTTTTCACCAGCAAAAGCCAAATATATAAGGCAGCGTCTTGTAACCGTGGCCCCTGTCATGTAGTCTCCCCCACGTCCTGGCTCTTACTTTTCGTCAGTATCTGTGGCAACGTTCTGTTGGAATCTGGTCAGAGGCCCTGTTGTCTTTGTTGTTCCCAAAGCCATCTCTATTTACCTTTTGTCACATCCCCAAGAACCAGGAGTGATTGCCGTGAGGACAGAGAAGTGACAGTCTCTTTTGCTTTGCAGAAAGGGGTTCCTGAATTCTTGAAAGACCTGGCGAAAGCCTGTCGGAACTACCCCGGGAGAACCTAAGAAAGAGGTTTGGGCACCTCGTGTCCAGGGAATGGTGTCTCCGGAAGCGCCACAGCCCGTGGATGCTCAGCCTTCTCTGCCCTTCCGCCTGTCCCTCCCCAGCACGGTGTCCCTGCGCGTGTCTGCCTGACGCCCGGCTCGCCCCGCTGCTTCCTATCCCCTCTCCCCACGCGGACCGCGGCCTTCTTCCACTGTGAATATGGGTCAGATCAGGGAAGCCTCTGCTTGTTATGTTTGCAAAGGGAAGTCCTCAACAGGGAACAGTTGTTCCATTGTGCCATGTTGGGGGGATAGGGGGGAGGAGGAACGACAACAGAAGGTGACAATGACCCAGCCCCGCAAGCTGCCTCCTCCCAGGCTGTGATTTCCTGCCCCCAAGAGGGGCTGCTGGACGCTGCCCTCCCCTCAGGGTTGCCTCTCAGTGCACTGACTGGAGGACACGCGCTGATGTCCGTTTGCCTTGGCCGTTGGGGACTTGATGTGGCTGGGATCTAGGTGGTAATGCAGTTAGTCTCTCCCCATTCCTCCTCCTGGAGGCTCACTAGCTGTTTTGATTTCAGGGTATTGTGAAAAACATTGGGGGCCTGACAGAGCTCATAATGTGATCACCATTTTTCCTCATCATCCATTTCTGGGTTTTTCTTTTTCCCATATGACACTGGGGAAAGGCTGTCCATACCCCACTAGCTCTGCATTTTCCTGGAAACTGAGGCATCCAGATCTTTCTGGCAGTTATCCAAAGCCAAATGCTTTGAGCACAGCATTGTGATAAAGTGTCTTTATATGCAATAAGATGAATTTGCCTTCTAGAATGTGTGGAGATGTTGGAGGGACAATAGTTCCCAGCCAGGGAAATATTAATTAGTGGCCTGTTTGACTCTGCACCTTTTTCTCAGGAATTCTACCTAAGTCGTCTACCTCTTCCACCACCAAAAGACTTCTAGTTTCCTATGTTTTCTCCTGAATTTTGGCCGGTGAAGATATTCTGTAGCCAAAGCCGTAACCTTGATGATCTCACGGAAAAATTTTTAATCACTGTGTGTGAAGGTACTGAACCTTGATTAATGGGCATGGAAATTCAGGATGTAAAGCTGGAAGCAGGGGATTTATGACAATGGGATTCCTCAGACTGTGTGTTTTGTCTCTGCGAAGCGAAGTGTGTTGAATGCCGAATAAATAGAGTGACTTATACTTGTGTTGTGTGTAGCTTCCTTCCTGCCTTGCTCCTTTTGTGAAAGTGAATCAGTTAGGTCTCTTTGGTTTACAGGTCACAGCCAACCTAACTCATGGCTTGAACATAAAAAAGAATTTGGGGCTCACTTCCATGCAAGGCCAGGTGTAGAGTGGCCTCAGGTAGGGTTTGATACCGGCGCTCAAACTGACATTCCAATTCATCTCTCTTCTTCTTCAAGTTGTCTTTGATGTTGGGCTGTGTTTGGTGGCAGGATTGCTGCTAACAGCAAAAGGTAGGCCTGCATCTTCCCAGGCTCATGCCGAGCAAAAAAGGGCATTTCTTTCCAGCAGATGCCGCATGATTCCATGATTCCCTCTAAACCATGTGCCTATCCCTGCCCCAGTCATTGTGGCATATGGTCGGAATTATGCAAATAAGCAAATACCTCATAAATATGTCATTAAAATATCATTATGTAGCTGGAATTTAACTGTAGATAAACTAAATCTAAATGCCTCATGTTAAATAGATCAAGTTGAAATTTTACGTATAGAGTCATTGAACACAAGCATGAAGACTATAGTCTTTGAGCAGAGAATCAATAAGTGACTAAACGATTTACAGAAGACTGACCAAATAAAACACCCAGGAAGCAAAACCCACCCAGATATAGAGGGTTAATTTGATTATGTTAAATAATAATTTACTATTATTTAATAATTTAATTCAAGCCAAATTATTTCCCAAGTCATCATTTTTGGGGTTCTAGATTCCTTACCTTCCATCAATCCTTCCTTGACAGTATTAAGGTCCTTTCTTTGTTAATGGGTGGCTTTGGTGGTGTGGCTGCGGGTTATATTTAATGTTCTGGACGTGGCACAGTCTGGACTGACTCCAGCTGAGATTAGTCAGGATTTCAGGCTTTTAATGACAAAAGGAGTGCTACTGTCAGTGCTAAATGTTTCCACAGGCGAATTATTCACCGCGCATAACAATTCAAAGTTAATGACCACCTTGGAGCTGAGGAGTTCCAGCAGAGGGTCACTTCCCTTGAAAATGTTCCTATTTCACAGTGAGAGTCCTGGCAGGGCTCCCTGGCTGAGATTCCTCACCCAGAATCTCCACCTCCAATGCCTGCCCTTCACTCCTCCTGCTTCCAGGCTGGATTTGGGAGAGACAGCAGGAAAAGCCTATTCGGGGCTCATGTTTCTGGTAGCACCACCCAGTCGGCTCAGAGAATTATCTTTAAAAGCTTTGAGACGAGTATTCACTAAACAGATATTTCTCAAGAGTCTGGTGTCCATCCAGCAAGGGGATAGGCATGGTGGTTCCTGGGACCAATGAGAAGGCTTGGTGCCTGCCCTCAAGAAGCCTATGGTCTGGTGAAGAAGACACAGTGGACAGGCTGTTGAAAAGGTGATGGGTTTTGAGAAAGGGCAAGTGAAGGGTGCTAGAGGCTGTAAAACTGGGGCACTAACCATGTCTGAGTGGTCAAGGAAGAACATGCTGGAGTTGGCTGGGTGAAGGTTGGGGAAGAAAACTGTTCCACATGGAAGGAACCATTTGCACAAAACCCCTCAGGCAGGAGAGCCAGTCACGTCTGAGGAAACTGTGAAACTGAGGAACTAGCAAAAGCCAGTATGGCTGGAGCAATGAAAGAGAAGGAGAGGCACCTCAGACATGGCTGAAGAAGTAGCCAGTCAGGCCATGGGAGGTGCTGAAGGCCGTGGCAAGGATTTTGGACTTTATACCTAGAACACAAATGAGCTTTCAAGGATTTCTGGCTGACGTGTGACCTGATAAGATTTATTCATTCTTAATAGCTGTTCATTTCTCCCCGTGGTTCTCCACCATCTCTAACAGCCCCTCCAACCTTGGCCTGGGGGCAGTAGCCCAGGCACTTTAAGTCTTGTCCCTTTGAATCCTCTCTGCATCAGGCAGCCTGCAGAGCAGCCCACATGCAAATCCAGTTTCGAAAGTGGAGTGTCAGCCTCTGAGGTTTCACCAGAAAAAAAGAGGGGCAGGGAGCATCCAGGCACGTCCTTCCATCTCTCCCGACCTGTGCTGGTATACCACATACCTCCAGGGTGACTGCATCATGCAGCCCATCAGATCACAGCCATTTCAGGAGCCAGAGGTGGGAGAGAAAAGGGGAAGGCATAAAACGTGTAAGAAGGTCCACTTTCCCCAAAGTTTCTCTTCCTATACTCCTCCCCAACTACAGGGAAGAATTTTTCTTTTTTGCCTGAGAAGGCAGAAACACATTGTTGTTTAGGTTCTCAGAGTTTGGAATCAACCAAACAGGAGGACTTCACAGAAAAATTGTTTATATTGCTAATCTATTAATATGTATTTGTGTGTGTGTCCGCTTGGATACACAGTATGTGCTCCATTTCATAATAATGGAACAATAACTAGGCAGCATGTTATGTGACTGTTCAAGTTCTCTTTGTGATATGCCAGGACTGTGAGATATGTTTTGCAGAGTGGAAAAGTGGTTTTACTGTTTTAGGTTCAAATTTCACCAGTTTGAGCCCCTTGGTTTAAGACTCAGACTCTCCACAATGGAAGAGTTCAAGAAACTGTCCCAGCATCTACTTGGGTGGAGAGGGGTTTTAAATCTCCTACCAGAGAGGGCTTGTGTCTATAGGAGCTCATCCTAAAGATTCAATTAGTTCTTCAAGAAACATTGGGCCAGGAACTCTCCTGAGTCCTGGGAGACAGAGTAAACTAACCATGGCCCTTACCTTGAAAACACTCATGATTTATTGGTGATTGGTTTTGGGGGAGAGAGAGGAGAACATAAATGTGGTGAGTACTATGACATAGGCATGTATGGGATATGATGGCGTGCAGGCTGCGGTGACTTGGACAGACTTCTCAGGGGAAGTGCTTTCTATGTTTGGCCTTGAAGTAGGAATAGGAGTTGGCCAGGCATCTAGAATTTGGCAGTTGAGTAGGAGAGACAGGTTTTTTGAGGCATAGACACCAGCATATGAAAAAGCACAGCAAGAGATAGCAAGATGTCGTTCAGCATGTCCTGGGTGGCTGAGCATGTGTATTTTGGAAGAGAGGGCTGGCTAAGGTGGCAAAGGCCAGAGCCATAGAAGCCTTGTATTTGAAATGAGATGCACCACTTTCCTAGCTCTTCCTGGCTATTCCAACATGTCAGCTGATGCCCTGAGTTCCGTCTTAGCAATGATGACTGTATGCATGTCCCTCTCTTTCGCTCCAAACAGACAGATCTCTAATCACTTTCTGGCTCTGCCACTTACTATTAATGTAACCTCAGACAAATTAGCCACATGGAGCCTCTGTTTTCTCTTCTGTAAAATGGGACCAAACTAAGAATAACATCAGGGGATTATTGTGAGTATTATCAGGATTGAACAAGCACAATGCCTGGCATTAAAATGTTCTCATGAAATATTTGTGGAGTCAAACTGGGTACAGGACTGAAAAGGAAACTCTACTGCCTGGAGAACAGACTTTGGCTTTCCAAACACCAGTAACTGCCACAGCAGTCTAGGACACCTGGAAAAAGGTAGAAAAGGGATCTGAACCCTGAAGATGAGGGACAGGAAGCCAGGGACCCAGAACCAGGAGATGGTAGGCCAGCACAGCAGATCAAAGCGGGAGGGACGCAGCTTGTGGCAGAACAACAAGGGCACCACTAGGGCAGGAGAGCAGACAGGAGGGAGAGGGTGGCAGGTGCTTGCTCAGAGGGCGCTTCAGGGAATGGATACACAGCAGCTCATGGCTTCCTCTTTCCTGATGTCGTCCTGGTGTCCTCCCAGGGGCTGGAAAGAAATCATAAAGTGAAAGA